TTTTTTGTATTATCAAAAAAATACATTTGAACTTAGCATAAAAAGTGGCCAGCCTTTTTTATTTTATCACTAAGGTACATGAAGTCCTTTATTTATTAATTCCTTATGGAAAAACACCTTTGTAAGGCTCTACTTATCTATTCTACCAAGCACACTCTTTGTATTATTTTTCTTCCTTTTTAAATTTAACATAGTTATTATTTTGAAATAGTAAGTTTTCTTTAATAGCTTTTTGGAACCTAACATACCCTTTCTCATAAAATTCCTAATGCTCTGTTTACAGCAGAAATATCTAACATGAAGACCTGTCAAAAAGTTTTGAAAGTATTCTGTCTTCAAAGGTAGTAAGGCAGGATTAGATTATTTTTAATAGAATAGTCAAATCAATGAATGGCATGCATGTATCTAATGGTTACTAGAGCTCAGGATCACAAAGTATAGTAGCATTACAATCTGCATATATTTTTGATTAAGATGACATTAATAATGGCCTTATTTGGGTTATTTTTTATCATTTATCAAATCTTATATACAAAAGTATGAAGATTCTTCTTTTAAAAATTTCTAAGGAAAATATTTCTCCCAATTTAACAATTTTAGAATGGATATATGTTTCTGAAAAGTTTTTGAAAGAAAGCAAAAGTTCTAGAATTAAAAATAAGCTGGTGTTTAATTCCCCATTGATATTTAGAACAGATTATTACTAAGAAATGGAGGACATATATAATTTTCACTCACTTTGCTTTTAGTTATGTATACTTTTTAAATTGAGAGTGTGACATATAAGTTTGAACCACATCAGCTTGTTTCTTTTAAATATATACAAACATGCATTTTTTTTCTCCTTTTGGTTGTACATATCTTCATTTTAAACTTTCTGAACCTCTGAATGACCTATATGTAAATTTTTGATTTTTATAAACCTGAAATTATACTTTTAATGTGTGTCAAGAACTTGTTCCATACAACTGTGGTATCAAGCAATAATGTGAATAACTTTTGAAATTATATAAACTATGCTTAATAATTTGTATTAAGAATTGGTACCACTATATAATACCTTTTTTCCTTGTATTAAATCTTTTAAATACCAGTTTCATTAACTTATATACCTGTATTTTTTTTTAAGTATTTCTTTGCACTTCTCTAAAGTACTGTGATTCTGTATAAATTTGAACAATTAAATGTCCTATATGGGACATTAGAAATTATCTTAAAAACTAGGATTTGGGCGGGGGGAGGTGTCTGAGAATTATTTGTTTCCATTGCCCACCAAAACGCTTATCATGAATTTATAAAATAACTTCTCCAATGAAAAGCGCAAAGGTCAAAGAATTCAAATTTACCTTGTATATAGGGTGTGTCCTACTACCTTAAAGTAGTGCAATTAAATGATAATGTTATTCAAAAACTAGTATTTCTTTGTGGTTCCAGTGTGAAAAGTTATTTTATGGAGAAGGCTAAAATCTGCTTCAGGGTTCAGAAGGAGCAGAAAAGTACAATGAATGTGTATACTATGCAACATAGTGTTCAATATCTAAAATTTTGTAAATTTGTAGAGCATTGTATTGATTAGCTTTATAGGAAAAACTATACCTATTTAGACATTTCTTTCTCCTGTTATTAGTTTCTATAAATTATCATTTTAAAATTATTCCCATAAAATATTTTAACTAAGATAATTTTCATAGTTGGTGGTATTAAGTGTAGGATTTTTTAAAAGCTTTTCTAATTTGGGCAGATGAGTCAATTGCTTTAATTCCCTAGAAATGTGCACTCTTATATTTCAATGTCTATATAGAAAAGAACCATGAATGCTTCATATGTGGTATTACCATAACTTAGGGTTAGGTTTCCATACTTGTTTTTTTGATTAGCCCCCAGTATAAGCTCTCTTGGCTATCCTTTCTTGAATCATGAATCTAAGCACCTATGTTGGAAATTAGAAATGTCAGAGATGCCTCTATGTGAACATTAGTCCAAAGGAAATATTTTAAATGATTGTTATTCTTCAGTTCCTGTTTTCTTACCTAAAGTTTGTAAGACATGAACCATAGGTACTTTTAATTTTTATTATTGGCCAAGGAAAGGTATTATTGGCAGAAAATCTAATGTCTAGATTTTACATAGGCTAGTTACTGGCGTTTTACAATAAATCCACCATTACTGTATAGAAACATTAGTTTATCAAATAATGCCCTTTGCAAACCCTATTATATTTTAATACATGACTTTTGTATATCTGGGTTATAATACATGTCCAAAAGCTACTGTAGTAAAAGTGAAGTGACACATTTAGCTTCTAAGGTAGATTGCCCCTTCCTCTCAAAGGGTTACTTTGCCTATATAAAATGGTCATCAGATGCTTTATTAAGACTCTTCATTTCATTCATTTAAAATATGAACATGTAATTTTGGCCTAAAATCAAGAAATTTTAAAACCTTGAATAATAGTAAATAATGACTTCCTTTTCATACTAGAAAACCTAGTTTTATAATTGAATAATTTTAAATCAGAAAGAACCACAACTTTCTCCATGGTTGTATTTTCAGTGTTATTTATAAGGAGCTTCTGATTGCTGCTTTATATTAGCAGATACAGGCAAACTGTATAAAACTGTAACAACATTCCATATCAATCTTTGTTTATAAAAGAATGATACTAAATATTAACCTACAGTTGGACCCACAGTTGCGTGAGTTCAAACTACACTAGTTTTATGTAACTATGTACATAGACTGAGCTTTTTATGATATTGTGCTTTGCAATTATAATCTTTAGCTGCATGCCTAATTTTCACTGTAAATATTTTCTTTGGCTCAACTGTTGGTCAGTAGTACTAAGTCAAAAGTACAAAGTGTTTAAAACTGTCTGACTGAATTCTAACATCTAGTCTTGGACACTCTTTCTTTCCTTCTACTTTCCTACTGAAGCACTGTGGGTCCTTTTACTGACCTCTTGATGTCCAGAGTCTTCACCCAGTGATGGACATAGTTCAGAGTTTCTATCTTCTTTTTCCAAAGCTCCCAGTAAGAATATTAATTCTGCATTTTTTAGCTAGGTGTGTAGAAGGCAAATTAAAGTGGGTCAGTCACATTAAGTGATGAATGGCTGACACTCTCAATTTTGCTAAGGTGGTACTTGGATTTTAAAAGGGACTTTCTTAACTTAAATTTCCAATTGTCATAGTGGTGTTTTCCTTTTCACTGGACCCTATCAGTCCAGACTTTCCAGAGAGGGAGTAGTAGGGTGATTGCATTTGTGGATTCTTAAATTACCATTTCTGAGGAAAGGTGATTTATTTATTTTTGTGTCATTAATGTACAATTACATGAGCAACGTGATCTTTACTAGACTCCCCCCATTATCAAGTCCCCACCACATACCCCAATACAGTCACTGTCCATCAGCGTAGTAAGATGCTATAGAATCACTGCTTGTCTCTTCTGTGTTATACTGCCTTCCCTGTGCCCCTTTCACCCACATTATGTGTGCTAATTGCAATGCCCCTTTTTCCCCCTTATCCCTTCCTTCCCACCCGTCCTCCCCAGTCCCTTTCCCTTTGGTAACTGTAGTCCATTCTTGGGTTCTATGAGTCTGCTGCTGTTTCATTCCTTTAGTTTTTGCTTTGTTGTTATACTCCACAGATGAGTGAAATCATTTGGTACTTGTCTTTCTCCGCCTGGCTTATTTCACTGAGCATAATACCTTCTAGCTCCATCCAGAAAGGTGATTTATATCTAGTATTAAGGAATAAAGAATAGGCTCAAGGCCAATCTTAAACCAAACTATTAATTATCCCATAATAGTTAGTGTTAATATAACACTCTTAAAAATGAAATAAAGTAACTCTTAATTTTCCATAAATAAAATATCCAGCTTTACTTTTAGGAACATATCTTTTATATGAGGTGAGATTTGTCTTTGAATCTTGCATTGCTATCTTGTCCTGTACAAAAATTTTTATAGTAATTTAAGAGAAGTCTAAATATTGTTTCTACTAGTCATAATTCTGTGTTCTTATTTCTGTAATATAGAGCAATATCCTCCCCCAACCCATGGTAAATTGAAACAACAGAGGTTAGTTGTAACTTTAATGGACAATACTGAAAACAAATCCAGAATGTTAATCCTGATTTTGAATTCACTTATGATAGTCTATAAAATAATCAAGTTACTTGGCCCCTTTAGTTTTATTTTCATTTCCACAAAAGGAAGCTACTGTAACTACCTCACATTTCTTAATTATTTATTTTGTTGTTATTAAAGCTCCTATATAAAAGTAAAT